CTGACCTCACACAGGCTCCTAACCAAGGATGACTGCATTGCTGCCAAAGTTCAAGAAAGAGAGACAAAGCTTTTGAAGGAACAACAGGCTCGAGAGAGAGAAAGCGAAAAGCTGAGCAGCGACACCAACAAGTCACAAGAGCAGCAACAGTATACATGTATGCAACAACAGTATACATGTATGCAGCAACAGTATACATGTATACAACAACAGCAGTAATGGCATTCCTCAGTTCCGCAATAGTGAAATCGGGCTGGTCAGCCTTTGGGTTGTTCCATAAATATTTCAGTCGCTGTTTGAGTTGCCGGTTTTCGGCTCTGTCTTCTTTCGACATGTTTAAACTGTAGACGTTCACGTAGTGGTCAGCGAATATGTCCGCCTTAAGCTTGCTTGATGTCACCAGTCGCCCATTGCTGTGTGATATTGCTTCATTTGGTGAGTTTGTCTCAGCGGTACCGTTGAGGCTTTTAAAGATTTTCCACATCGTGATGTCGTCCTGCGGCGAGTTGGTGGTTTTCTCCAGGCGTCAGTCTAGGCATCGATGATTGCCTCCTGCGCCACATGGCACGCCTCTAGCCATTCCTGGCAGTGATTTCGCACCTCTTTCCGGAGTCTATTTCGCCTCCGGATTGCTCTTCGAACTGTGGGGGGTTTCCAATGTCTTTATGCCTGCCTGGTTTCACAGTGCCGACAATACGGGTACCGGCGTCCATCAGGGCAGTGTGGAATTCAGACAGTGTTGCGGATGTGGTTGTTCGAAGGCATTCTCGTCACAGTGTCACGTTCAACGGCGCCAGTGAAAGTGAAAGCTTTCCAGTCGACGCTGAACGATTTTTAGGTGACCTGCCCTTAAATACCGACCCATGGCTGACCTCAGTGTTAAGGGTCACAGAGATCTGAGCATGGTCAGAGCTGCCAATTCCGTCTACTGGGCACCAGGTGTGCTTCCTGCTCCATGTTGACCCACATATAGAGATATCGGGGTCACTTTTTCCTCCCGTGGATGGTGGGGCAGGGGGAGAGGGATTGGGGTTGAGATGGTCGTCATGCCTCGACTTGGTGTTGATACGTGTGTGTGTTCCGTCGTTCATGACCATTCAGTGGATTCCTGGTCACTGCGATATCCTCGGCAACAATCTCGAAGACAGTAATGCCAAACTGGCAACAGCGCTGCCGGGTCCAGGCCGCCAAATTACATATGAAAGTGTGTGCGCCCAGATAAAACTCATTACAAAAGACCCTCTGATATCCCACACGCGGACGAAGGAAATATACAGGGAAATTTCCTTAAAATGAGAGGCTCAAATCAAGTCCCGCAGTAACCAGTACTACAAGCAAAAATCAGGACCGGTCACTTCTCTGGGCTGCGGGCCAACAAAAATAGAATAGACAAAACATCCGTCCCAATTTGTCCATTGTGCAGCGAGGAGCCTCTAAATTTGGAGCACCGGCTGCAGAGATGCCCCGCCACGGAGGTCCTGCGGTGGCACCTCTTTGGGGAGGATTCTGGGAGGTTGGACTGCCTCACCCGCTACCCAAGAGAGTCGGTGGTCCTGGCGAAGAGCACACCCTTCGGAGCTCCAAACATTTCGAACGGATAGGTTACCACACACACACTCGCGACACAAACACCAAATGCGTACCCAAGGAAAGAGCAAGCAATGTACAGACGTCTCGAAGGCAACAAACTAAGGAGTACTTTCTGACTGTTGATTTCAAAAGTGTTCAAGTTAATAACAAGACTGTTTTTTTCTCAACAGTCTTGGGATATCAGAGCAGTTCACACATACTGTTTTGAACAAAATCACTTCATCAGGGACGATTGAAGGAGAATTGAGAGGTGGAGTTCAATCAAAGGCTGCGATTCTACGAAATGAAAAGATAAGAAAAATGGTGGCTGATCACATCGACAGGTTCCAGAGAATTGAGTTACACTTCTGTAGAGCATCGTCTTCGAGAGAATATCTCAGTCCAGACTTGAGAAAGAGAAAAAAGTATAAGTTCTTAGAAGAGAGGAAACCAAAGCCAGAGCCACCAAGCTTTGTCTTTTACAAGAGCGTGTTTAAGGAGAAGAATTTATCCATCCACCAACCCAAAAAGACCAGTGTTCCCTATGTGTCACCTACCTTAAAGGAGACGAGTCTTCACGTCAAGCTGTGAAAGCTCAATACATGTACATGTACTAATTGTGGAGTTTTAATGATGCAGCAAAACCACAATCAGGTGAAAGGACAGGGCAATATGTTTGCCTCACCCAGTCAGCGTATACTAACGACAGACCAACCGCTGTTCCTTTAATTTCATGTGTCAAGCAGAAAAGATATGTTAACACTGAAATGCCTGGGATCGAACCCATGACCTCCTGGACCCAAGCCTAGGCCTAGCTACAGCACTGGGCTGGTCCGGGCCGTGGGTGTCGCATTTCCCCCCAAGTGATGTCGAAGTTCCCCACAGTGGTGTTGTAATTAAAACAACTGGTGTCGAAATTTGAATTACGTACCCCACACATTGGGGGGGGGCTCACCCCCAAAATCCCGATTCGGCTCAAAATTATGAAATCTTAGTTGTAGGCCTTTTTAGCTTCCTCAGCCTCTCCTACGCATAAAATCCCCCCAAAAACGGTATTATTTCCCATACCGGGCATCTTTTCTCTAAACTTTTTCAAATAACTCCACAAGTTTTCATCCAATCTTCATGAAATTTTCACAGAATGAAGGGAAAATGTAATATTAAAAATTTGTCAGTTGCATTTTTTAAACATAGAATAGATTTTTGTTGGTGGTGTCTGGAGTGTGGATTTTCTGCAAACTTGAATGCTACCTCAGGAAAAAAGTTATTAAAAATTTTCTAATTCATTTAGGAAAAAAACAACAGACAAATTTTTAGATCTAATGCTTGTTAACACGCATGCAAAAAAAAAAATGAATTTCCATGAGCAATAAGTGTGTTGTTCATTATGTAAGACATGTAAAAAAAATCCAGTATGGCCACCATATCCATGGAAATGAAACTTTTTCTCAAATTTGATTGCGGATTTTAAGACTCCTTACTATGCTTGTTATATGTGAGAAATTTGGTAAAATTTGGTCTACGGACCACTTGTCCACCCCCCCCTCCTCTTATTCGATACCTTGGAGTACGCAGTAAAGGGTGCCATAAAACACTTACCAAAAAAATATTTTTTTAAAATCGGACACTGAGGAGTGTCTGGTTGTAATAACCCTGTATCCCATTGGACACTGAGAACGTCTGATACCGGGTACTAGAGACAACTGTTATATTTCATTTAGTATTTAGAGCTAGTTTTTGTTTGTTTTTCAGAACTATTCCCAAACAAAATATTTTAGTAATGACTTACCCTTAGTTTCCACGATTTAGAAGTTTGAGACAAGCTTTTGGGGTTATAATGAGACAAAATACACAAATTTTAGGAGGTGACCATAGAAAAAAATCCGGGAAACGGTGGAAAAACTCAGGGTTTATTAATGATTTAAAGCATGTTCATTTGTCTTGCTTTTGTTGAAAAATAATGTAAGCGCGCCTGGTGAAAGGTACAAAAGACGTATTTGTTCGAACCGAGATAGCAGGCTTCAAAGGTCAAAAATAGAATTTTTGACAAAAACTAAGTTCCAGTAAAAATGGATTCTTTAGCCATTAATCACCGATATTTACAAGGACTTGAGTTTCTTTTACTTTTTAATACATTTAAAAAATGCTTTTTAACACAAGGAACATTGCATAATCCCAAAAAATGCGTAAGAAAATTAGTTTTTCAAGTAAACATTGTGGATGATTTCTCTTGTCCATCCATAAAGTAGACCCAATCACATACATAGCATACCAAAATTTAGGTCATTCTCTCCCCTCTCTAATGGCAGGTCATCATCATCATTGCCTTTCTCACCCTGCACCAGGGTATAGGCCATGGACAATCACCTTCCACCTTTCTCTATCCTGGGCTAGCCTCTTGATGTTATTCCATGTCTTCCCACTTTTCTGTACATCGATTTCTGTGATTCTTCTCCAGGATCCACGTGGTCTTCCCCTTGATCTCTTACCCTGTGGGTTCCAATCCAAAACTTTCTCTGTTATGCAGTTGCCCGACTTCCTGAGAGTATATCCAATCCATCGCCACCACCTTCTTCCTACCTCCTCTCTGACTGGGATGTTTTGTTTTCCTTAACACTTCCACATTGGCGACCCTGTCTGTCCATCTGATCCTCAGACACCTGTTCAAGAAAACCTGGATCCTCTTTATGCAAGTCTGTGATGCGTTCCATGTCTCACATCCATACACCAGGACCGACTCACTTCACATTTGAATTGAAAATCCTCAGCTTCGTTCGAAGTGGGATATCTCTGGTCTTCCAAATCCTATCTAAAGATATGAAAGCAGCCTGTGCTTTTCCAATGCAGGACTTTATTTCAGCACCTGTTCCTCCCTCTTTGTCAATTATACTCCCAAGATAGCAGAAGGATTCAATGTTTTCTAGTGCCTTTCCTTCTACTGTGATCCACTCCTTTCTTAGTGCATCTGTTTCTTAGGACCTTTGACTTTCTGGGATGGATCCTCAATCCAACAGACTCCGATAGGCTGTTTAATACTGAAGTCTTTGCTTGCATCTGTTCCTGGGTGAGCAACAGAAGCGCCAAGTTGTCTGCAAAATCCAGATCGTCCAACTGTGTCCAAGGTGTCCACTGTATACCATTTCTGTGTCCTCTGGTGGTTTCCTTTATCAACCAGTCGGCTGCCAATATGAAGAGGAATGGTGAAAATAGACATCCCTGTCTCACACCAGTCTTGATGTCAAAGCTGTCAGTGAGCTGGCCATCATGTACAACCCTGCAACTTGTCCCCTCGTACATGCTCTTGAAGAGGTTCACCAACTTCTGTAGGATTCCGTGGTGTCTCATAATCTTCGATTGTGTTGTTCGGTCTATACTGTCAAAGGCCTTCTCATAGTCAAGAAAGTTGACAATCAGCTGGGAATTCCACTCCAGGGACTGTTCCACAATAATCCAGGTTGTGCGCATGAATATCTAGAACATGTAAACAAAGCGAAGCTTTGCACATCCACACCCTTTCATTTTAAGGAGAGCAAACTTGTATCGCCTATTTCTGCCCTGCGCAAACCTAGATCTATTTCTTGAAAATTCTTGGACAAGGTGGTGGTGAATTTGTTTTGAAGAAAAACACTTTGAAGCTGTTCTTTTATCTTAACTGCTTTTTAAAGTTGGTTTGTGAGAAGCGAATGTGTTGTCAGGTCGTCTCAAAGCGTAGATCTGTCTATTTGAAGCAGAAACAAAGGGGGAACTTTAAAGCCGTTTTTCTCAAAACTTTGTTTCCATACCCTGCCTTACAAAATCACCCATATCTCAAAAACTACAAAAAGTATCTTAAAAATTAAAAAGCATATTGTACAGAAATGATCTCTGTACATGAAAATGCCAACAAAAAAACCCGGAATTCTTTAAAATGCGTCATTTGGTACCTTTCGCCAGGCACAGACACAAATCATCTGTCTTGTACAGAAGTCAAGATATTTTTTGTGATTGAAGTAGACAATGTCAGAGGTAAAATTAGCAAGAAAATGGCCGCTAACGTTTGGTGGCTTACAAAGTTTGAGTGTCACTGAAAACAACAAATTTACATTTTTTTATGCCTTTGACCATCATTTTTAAGCAAAATCCACAGAGAAGCAAGTTTTTAAATGGACATAAAATGTGTTGAGCTAAAAATAAAGAAAATTTGAACAACACTGCCCAAATGCCAAAAAAATGGCGGTTTCTTTGATTTCGTTATAAATTTAGTTTAGACGAGCGCCTGATTTCATCATGATAACTCACATATATATAAATTATGGCAACAATACACAGACTTACTTAACAAAAAACAAGGCACAAATAATAATATGTACACATTAATAGTTCCAAATATACATATTATCTATGCTTAGAATTAAATACTTCAAAGAATGCGTGCAGGCACACTGCACACCCTTTGGACCATTTTGAAATTCGGCAGATATTACGCTTACTACATCCTCCCATATTCAGTAACACAAACATCTGCAGACGTTTGACACCCCTATCAACACAACTTTGATCGATTACAAGGCAGGCTGCTTTGACCCTGCCTGTCCATGCCAAACTGGGCTGAGAGGAATACAACACCCCAGCAGACACACAAGGATTCTCTATATAAAAACATCCCCACATGGAAATCAATCTCCAGTCTTCTGCCTGTGACATCAAAGCGCTTAACTGCTACAAAATGCATGCCAGTCCATATTTAGGTACTATGTCACTAACATTAACACTAAGCAAACTTCAAAGACTGCTGTGTTTGCCAATAATTAGGAACAGTTTGTCAGCAAATAGCAAAGAGGTAAATGCTTGCCGCCTTAGCCAAACACAATGACATGGGATGACTACCACTTCATACAGCCGCAGTTGGCAAATAGCCCATAATTTTTTCTGCGACTTCTCACAATCCTGGCAAAGGGAATTGTTTAGTGTACGGCATACACTAAGCTCCTCCTATAGGGGCATTAAAAAGAAAGCGAAGTCCCCATTTCATTACTTAAACCAACAAAAAATAGCATCTGAAGGACATTGGCATAGGGCTTTGAATATGGAAGGCTAAAAATCACCTGAAAACAAAAGGAAATTATACGAACTACGTAAGGTCAATAAAACCTGTAGTGTCCATCGTCAATTGAGGATTTTTACAAGAGGTAGAAGTCGCAGAAGGCTTTGGTTTCTTAACTTTGACAGACATTGGAGCTCTCCAAGGCTTTTCTGACCTTTCAACAACCTGGACATCATCATCATCATCATCAAGACTACGTTTCTGTTTGGCATCAGCCCCACTTGCTGAAGTCGTATGTGAAGACGTTGAAGACGACGGAAAAGTTCCGTTATATAAACAATTTGAAAGTTTCAGCTGATTTGCCAGAGGTTTTGTGGCCATTAACCTTGAACTTTTACTCGTCTTTTTTTTCAGTCCCATTCTCATCAAGGCACTTTTAGGCGGGCCGACGGGTTGAACAAAAGTTGTGGAGCCACCAAACCCATCGTAGTCTCGCCTTGAGACAGACGTAACGTGAGAACGAGAATTTGACAGCCCTGTCAATTTCTTCTTCAAAATATTCAGCATTGGAGCAGCAGGTGCACAGTCGGTTGCAGTGTCTGTTTTAGCTTTCTTGGCAGCCAAGAATTTTTCACTAGCAGTTGCGACTTTAAAAAGTTTCAACTTGGGGCTTCCTCTGTCTGGGTTTAGTCCTTGAGGTTCTGAATTGTCTTCCGAAGTGGGAGAATCAAACAAATCAGGGCTGAAGGGAGTTTGAATTTCAGGAGCTGCTAGCATTGGGGAGTTTTCTTGGTCGTTACGTTCAGCAGAAACGGCCATGCGTCTGGGGGGTGTGTATGCAACATTGGGACTATCATCATTCAAAGCTTGGATGAAACTGGTGCTTCCATCCGTGACCTTATGACGGAGGGCCTTTCTCAGGTGCGAAACCTTTCGCCGATTCAGGTTGTTTTCCTTCTCCATCTGGCTCAGGGACGAGTTTGATTCATCCAACATCGCCGTTACATCAGCCAGGCTCTTTTGAAGGTCCTCCTCTTGCTTTCGACGACGACTTATGATTGTCTTTAATTTGGAGATCTCTTCCCTTTGCTGCTTCTTGGCAGCCAAAGCCTGGGTGTATTCGCGCTTCATGACAGTTACCAGGCTGCAGAGTTGCCGTAGCGATGAATCGCCACCCTCTGAATACTGCGAGATCATCGCCTGGATGTCACTATCACAACCTGCAAGGAAGAATAGGTAAACAATGAAACACACAAAAATAAAGTATGACTCCCATTACTATAAACTCTTTTACTAGAAAATGGCCACTAACATTCGGGGGGGGGGGGGGGGGGGTGCTATTGCTGTGATTCTAATCCCCACTAATCTTACACCCTCTCTCTCTTTCTCTCAAGCTCACAAAATTCTGAAAGATGTTTATAATAAAATGGCAATCACGAGAATGCATTTACTCTGGCAATACTCTGCAGTTCCCATGAAAATTTAAGAGGGGCAGGTAAAAAAAGTGATCAAAATATTAAAGAAGTAATACAATGTGGTGCTGCATTTGAGTCCAGAAGTGCAAAGTAACTTTTAAAAATTCCAGTCACCAAAGAAAGCGTCATTGGAGCTTCAGAAAAAGTTTCTTCATCTCTTAGACTGAAAGCAGACAATTAACCCCTTCAATGCCGAAAGTAAAGAGGCTGCCGTGCCAGGGGAAATCGCGTGAACCAAGGCTGCTTAGGGGTGACCCCTCTCTACCTCCCATTACTTTTTTACTTTTGAATATTTCCTCACGAATTTCTGCATGTACATTCTACATTGAACTACATTTCTATTGATATGATTTTGGGGGCATTTCATTGAGAGACAGATGAAGAAAAGTTGGAGTAAGTAACATGATGCCAAAAACAACACCAAACAACATATCGTCGGCCTTGTGATAAAACCGGCTAACCCCAGCGAGGTAAATTTTACAGGAGAAGGAAAAAACTGTTTTATTTCAAAACAAAGGCGTCTAACGATAAATCAATGCTTTAAACACCTATAAAAACACTTTACCGAAAATCTGTAGAACTTTTTTTCCTTTAAAAATTGCTTTTAATGAAACTGTGTGGGTTAGACGGTTTTGTCGCTCAAATTTCCTGGATAAAACCGACCAACCCTCAAATTTGTGGGTTGACCGGTTTTATCAGGATGCCACTGCTGGCCTCGAGTTTGGTTGAGTGCAGCCAAGCCACACTTGACGGTAACGTATTTGATCACTTGCTTCAATCGTCAAGATCTTTTGTAGAAGAAGAAGAAGAAGAAGAAGAAGAAGAAGAAGAAGAAGAAGAAGAAGAAGGAAGAGGAGGAGGACTATATTATTGCTACCAACATACTATCAGCTGCTGCCATTTCAGTGCTACGGAGTCAATTCGGGCAAAAACAGCAGTTACAAAGTTTAACCTTTAATAGAAGTAGAAGAAGCAGAACACAGCAATGGGTATATTAATTACATTTAAAGTAGAAGAACAGGAGGTTGGAAGGGTAAGGGAGAACAGCTACAGCAACAACTACAAAAACAACAACTACAACAACAACAAAAACAACAGTAGTAGCAGCAGCAGCAGTAGGCCTTTAGAATTTATAACCGTGTCCGACACGGTACTATTGGCACTGGGTGGCCATTCAAAGGCCTGGAAAAAAAGTAATACAAAGAAAGAAATGAAAGCAGAAAGCCACACAAAAGCTCTGCTACCTCGGCAATGGTTTGGGAGAAATTGGTTACATAATGATATGTCATTATTATACAAGAAGACTTTGTGAGTACCAAAGAATGCGCCAGCTTTCTCCAAGTGTGTGGCTTGACAACTACTACTTTATTTAAGAGTTTTCTCGACGACAGAAGAGCATGTCTATCTAACTCTGTGTCCTATGGCTACAACAAGGCAATACGACAAAAGTTACCATTGTTTTGAAAGACTCTACTATAATCGAATTTGGCTTGATCGCTTTCAAAAACTTCTTACTGAGGCAAAGTTTCATGGTAATTGTGGTAGCATCGTGGTACGACGGCCTTCAACTCAAGTAGATGTTTATACTGGTTGGCAGTTATCTTCAATCTGTCTTTGCAGAGAGGTCCAGCAGTAACCGTCGTATACACATGGTGTTCAGCTTTCTTGGTCCCTGCAGCGCCTGCCATCCATCATCAAAGTTCAGCTTGTACTGAATTTTAAAGACTGGAGTGTACTTTGATGCCTGCAAGTCAGTGACAGTAGGATCGCCTGCTTTTCTCCCTGGACGGATTGTTTAGTGCTCTCCGACCTTTGCGAAATCTTTGAAAAAGCTGTGGTCCAGGAACATAACTTCATAGGGCCTGGGGATGCGTCTGGCTTTGAGCATGATGTTCACGTAGTCCATTGGGATTTACATCAGTGCGTTTCTTAGCGATCGCTCAATAGTGCCATGGACTGAATCCACTTCCATTTGGGTATGGCCCTTGGGAAGAATTTCTGCGCAACTGTGATGTCAAGCTCTTTGGCCAGCGAGGCCATTGCACTCACCAGGGTGGCTTTCTGTTTTAGTAGTTGCGCCAATCACTGCAGATGATGAAATGGTTGAAGTCAGTCACTTGCAATATCAGTTAGTGAGTCAGACGTGATGAAAACTGTTGAAGCCCAGACCAACTTCACTTTCATAAAAGACATATCATCTGGCATCTCTGGTGGCAAGATCCTAAGTCGTAACATTGTATACAGGCAGTTTTGTTTATATAAGGTGGAAGTCTTTAGTGATGAGGCCAGAAGGATGCACTGGATCTCCATACAAAGGACACACACAGCCTCCCTGTCCTTCTCCTTCTCTGGTCTAGCGGCAGCTTTCCTCATATTCATATTTGAGCTGTGTGTTCTGTTTCTGTGAGGTTTCCAGATTTGAACTTTGTACAAATGTCGCACTGGTCTTTCTTGGTTGAAAGTAAACCCAAATTGTTTTTCTTGAACTTTTGGCAGAACACTTGATAGCTCAATGTGGCTTTCACCCTCTCTGCAAAGTTCTCCATGTATACTTGATGCAGATCTGACGTTTTCTGGATTGTCATCTGTAGACAGGAGGATATCTTCAAAAGTTTGTCAAAAAATTCCTCTTTATGGAACAACTTGTCATCCTTGGCTCTTTCATGGTGGGCGCGATGTGTTTTAGGTGGGTGGACCTCTTGGTTGTTGTTTTTTCGGAGAAAACACTTTAAATAAACCAGTGGGTCAGGCCTGTGGTGTTCTTGAAGATTGTTTTACAAACAGGTGTTCTTTGACCATTGACTCTTGTAAGTGGCTGTAATTTCTCCTCGGGTTTTCGCTTGCTGTGTAAGATCTCTTTTTGTCTATCATGTTTATCGTGTCATATACGTAGGCTCTCTTTTCTTTCCAAGAGAGTGACCAGTGATATCATTGCATTTTGTACCAACCCATTTACAACTGCCAAGGACGTCAAGTTCACATCCTGCTCCCTGCGTGCCTTGACATGGGTAGATGCATTTCCAGTTCTTTCAACCTCTTCCTTTTGTTACCCTTCCAATCTTTTTCATGCCATGTCCTTTTCGCAGAGATCAAAGGTAACATAACTATTGTACTATCAACTGATGTGACATTAGCCTGGTCATGTTGATCCCTTTCGACTGCACTGAGGGTAAGAGGTGACGCAGCAAGAGTGGCATCATCTTATTGAATGTTATAGCGTTATGTAAGCTAAGGTTTGATATAAAGATAACGCATTAGGTTATGACACTGAGAAAATAATCTACTCAAAACACAAACGAAATGAACTTTCAAAGAAAGTCGAACGATGTTTCAGAAGGTAATGACTGCAATAAACACAGCAAATGAAAAAAGAAAGAAAAAGCGCTTTAAAAAACAACGATCGTTGGGGGCAGACGGTGTGCTGGACAGGTCCCACAATTATTTTTTTTGGAGTGAGTTAGTAAAGGGGGAAATGCTATCTACTTCGTCCATTTAATTGTGAAGGAAAAATGATTAGGAGAAGAGACAGTAGTCCGATTAGGGGAAAATGCCTTCACAATCGGTGAATTTCGAGTACAAAGACAAAGAAAAACACGCGGACAAAAAACATAGTTTCATTCAAAACAAAATCCATAAAGATGCATTTCAAATACCGGAATTGTCACGAGTCGAAGCCGGGGTTAGTCGGTAACGTAGTAAGTGGCCCCTCATTGTTAGCGCGATAAAAACAGCCAACCCACATTCCGTCCCTCGCAGGTGGGATAGTCGGAATTATCGGGCTAAAATCCGATGGGTGCCGGGTTATACGGTTTTATTTCTAATGTTTTAAAGAAATTTCTAGACAAAATTCAGATCTGTCTTTGAGTGAGCATATGAAATGGACAATTTACTATCGATAGGGCCAATAAAAAGTTTTTTGATATTTTGTGGGTTAGACAGTTTTATCACCAGGCCGACGATATATTTGTGTTTACTTGCGTGCTCATATGACCTTATGCAGTTGCGAGCACCATAAAACCCCATACTAAACTAAAGTGTTTATTGCCAGTATATCATGTTTGTGCAGTAGATGTGTATATCTAAGATCTAATCTTCTCTTTGAGCTAAAATATGAATCTAACGCTTTCAAATTTGGGGGGGGGGGGAAGATGGGGGGGATGGAGGTAAACATAAAGAGAAGGTACCTCAGTAACAATTACAAGACTTTAGCACTAATTAATTGGTATTAAAACAACCTCTGTCAGTCCCGTAAATCCTACGGGCCATAAGCACAGTGCTACATGGTTCAGGCCCGTAAATTCTACGGGCGCGGCAGCGAAGAGGTTAATCTAAGAAAAAAAAGCAGAAAAATTTTTCTCATGATATCACACTTTTTCTTCTTCCTTGATCTCCCACTAGATCAGAGGTTCTTCAAGTGATTTTAATGAATAAACATAATTCTGTCTCAAATTAGAATGATAGATTCCCTTCCTGTTAGGCAGCCTTATGCCATTTTCAGGTGTAATCTTAACTTTTTGAAAAATTGACAAGTGTCTGCCATTTTTGGGTAGGGATTAACAGGAGACTTCACCTAGGCAGTAGGGATGGGCAGGTACCGGTACCCAGTACCGGAACTCCCGGTTCAACCGAAGGAGGTGTCAGTACCGACACCTGGCCTCCAGTACCGGCTCTCGGAAGGAGCCGACACCAACGGTTAATACATTGTACCGGCTCTGAGAAGGAGCCGACGCGACGGTTGTTTTTTT